TGGAAAGCAATATGGAGATACCTCAAAGAGATACAAGTAGAACTACCATTTGATCCAGCAATCCCATTACTGGGCATCTACCCAAAAGAACAAAAGACATTCTATAAAAAAGACATCTGCACTAGAATGTTTATAGCAGCACAATTTAAAATTGCAAAAATGTGGAAACAACCCAAGTGCCCATCAATACACGAGTGGATTAATAAAATGTGGTATATGTATACCATGGAGTTCTACTCAGCCACAAAAAACAATGGTTATATAGCATCTCTTGTATTCTCCTGGATAGAGCGGGAACCCATTATACTAAGTGAAGTATCCCAAGAATGGAAAAATAAGCACCACGTGTACTCACCATCAAATTGGTCTTAACTGATCAACATTTAAGTGCATATATAGTAGTAACATTCATCAGGTGTCGGGCAGATGGGAGGGGGAAGGAGGGGATGAGTATATACACACCTAATGGGTGTGGTGCACACCGTCTGGGGGATGGACACGCTTGAAGCTCTGACTGAGAATGATCTAATTGTTCAAAACCAAAATAGACAGAAAAATACCAGTATGTAGAAATAATGGAAAGCTATAAAGCACAGAAAATGAATGTACTCTATCAACATCCATAAACAAGAATAAAACTCTAAAACATGATGTTCACTAGAAAAAAGCAAATTATATAACATATACACCGTGATTTCATTTATATAAACTTCATTTATATAAAATGACAAAACTAAATAATATATTGTTTGACACAAATACAAATAGCAAATACATATAGAGAATTAATACAAAATTAAGAACATGGTTATTTCTCAGAAGCACGGATGGTGTTGCAATCAGGAAGAGATATACTGCCTACTGGTATATGTTCAATTTTTTTTTTTTATTTCAGCATATTATGAGGCTACAAATGTTTAGGTTACATTTCCCTTGCCGCCCCCCCCGCCCCAGTCAGAGCTTCAAGCGTGTCCATGCCCCAGATGGTGCACATCGTACTCGTTATGTTTGTATATACCTATCCCCTCCTCCCCCCTCCCACATGCCCGACGCCCAATAAATGTTATTCCTATGTGTGCACTTAGGTGTTGATCAGTGAAACCAATTTGCTGGTGAGTACATGTGGTGCTTATTTTTCCATTCTTGGGATACTTCACTTAGTAGAATGGGTTCCAACTCTATCCAGGAGAATACGAGAGGTGTTATATCACCATTGTTTCTTACAGCTGAATAGTACTCCATGGTATACATATACCACATTTTATTAATCCACTCATGTATTGATGGGCAACAGCTTAGGTTGTTTCCATATCTTTGCAATTATGAATTGTGCCGCTATAAAAACAAGATGGGAGGCATCAATCTACCAGACTGCAAACTATAATACAAGGCTGTAGTAATGAAAACACCTTGGTACTGGCACAAGAACAGGGACATTGACCAGTGGAACAGAACTGAGAACCCAGATATAAAATTATCCTCATATAGCCATTAATCTTTGACAAAACAAACCAAAACATACACTGGGGAAAAGAATCCTTATTCAACAAATGGTGCTGGGAAAACTGGATAGCCACACGTCGAAGACTGAAACAGGATCTGTACCTTTCACAAAAATCACAAAATCAACTCTCAAAAAAATCAACTCACGGTGGATAACAGATTTAAACCTAAGGTGTGAAACTATAAGAATTCTAGAAGAAAATGTTGGAAAAACTCTTATAGACATTGGTAGACAAAGACTTTATGAAGACGGCAAAGGCAATCACAGCAACAACAAAAATAAATAAATGGGACCTGATCAAATTAAAAAGCTTCTGCACAGCCAAAGAAACTGTCACAAGAGCAAACAAACAACCTACAGACTGGGAGAAAATTTTTGCATGCTACACATCCGATAAAGGGCTGATAACTAGAATCCGTATAGAACTCAGGAAAATGAGCAAGAAAAAATCAAACAACCCTATCAAAAAGTGGGCAAAGGACATGAACAGAAACTTTTCAAAAGAAGACAGAATAATGGCCAACAAACATATGAAAAAATGCTCAACATCTCCAATCATCAGGGAAAAACAATCAAAACCACAATGAGATATCACTTATCTCCAGTGAGAATGGCCTTTATCAAAAAGTCCCAAAACAATAAATGTTGGCGTGGATGTGGAGAGATAGGAACATTCATACACTGCTGGTGGGACTGCAAACTAGTGCAACCTCTGTGGAAAGCGATATGGAGATACCTTAAAGAGATACAAGTAGAATTACCATTTGACCAGCAATCCCATTACTGGGCATCTACCCAAAAGAACAAAAGACACTCTATAAAAAAGACATTTGCACTCGAATGTTTATACGTTTAATTTTTAACCTGGATGATGGATACATGGTTTTTTATGCCATTATTGTTTTTAAATCTATACTACATGTTTCATATATATAGGGGACCTGAAAAATTGCAAGTGTTGAATAGGGCATGAGACAACAAAAGGTTCTCCAGTAGATTGCTGTGCAAGTTACTTCACCTCTTGCAGCTTATGACATGGCAGAGTCAATGGAGCCTGAAGTGCTTTTAGCTAACTGAGGCATAGAAACAAGCCTTTAGCAGGTCCCAATAAAAAAGAAGTGGCAGTCTCTAGGGTTTTGGAACAGTGCCATACCTCCTTCAGCAAATAACAGCTGCTAAGAAAGAACTCCTGGATTGCTACCAAACTCTGATGGAGACTGACTATCTGACTACCTGGTCACGGGACTCAAAAAACCATCTGGCCTGAGGCACTAGTCAAGAATTGGAGGCCATCTATTAACAGTTCAACAAACCATAAAATTAGGTGCACCATTTTAACATTTAAAAAAGTCTATGAATTGTTCTTTATTATATTCTGACACCAGCTAGAAGTAGATTATTATATTGATAGCTATCCTTGGAGATGAACCTGAAGGACAATGACAAAAGGAAATCCTCCAAGTGACCGAAGTTTGAGTAATACATTGTGTTGTGTAGTTTATCTGGAATGTGAGGCAACCTGCGAAAAGGCATAACACTAGCCCTCCTGAATCAGAAGCTGAGCCAGCCACCTAGGCAGTTCAGATTCTTCATACCTATAGAGAAACTGGTAAAATGGGAAATCATAGTATTGGCTGGGGTGATTTATGCTGGTTATCAAGGTCTATTGAAATGGTTTGCTGAAAAATAGTGAATGCCAAAAGGAATATCAGAAGATGTAAGGGAACTCCTGGGTTAACTCATGTACTACTATAAGCAGTCATAAAACTTAATGAAATTTCCATATAACTTTATAACTAGGAGAATCACTAAGGGCTTAGAGTTTTCAGAAATTAAGATTTGAGTTATCCTCTAAAAGCAAAGACCCTCAGCAAACTAAGATGCTTTCTAGAGACAAGAATATCTGGAGTGAATATTGGAGGAGGAAGTTCATAAATTACAACTATTATGACAAACTAGAGAACTGATAAATGGTATCTGAACTTATATTTCTTTGCTTGCTCCTTGATTATAATACTAATTCTTCCTATACAACCAATTTCCCTGTAAAGTTACCATTATCAAAATTTTAAAAATATTTCTTCCTCTTCCTTTAGGCTGGATCACAATAGAACAAAAGGAAGACTAAATGTCATTTAAGATCCTGGACTTAGAGATAAGCAGTCTGGCATGGTTGAGACATATACCTGGGAAGCTGTTAAGGATGCTGGGGATTATCCTTAGATCCTGTTCAGAATTATTTTCATTATAAATGACAAATCCACCCTGAAATAACATGAAAATGGGGAGAGTCAGGGAGAGGGAGAGAGAGAGAGAGAGAGAGAGAGAGAGAGAGATTGATTGAGATGGATTAATTGATTTCAGCAGATTAAGGAAGAGCAAGGATTTTGCCGGGATTGACATCAACTGGAGTCTTGACTCGTTCCATCACCACTTTCTATTTCTTGTTTTTCTCTGGAACCATGGCTATTTACCATCTATGATTCATATCTTATAAAACTAAGACCAAAGCGGAATGGATACTTTTTCCTGGGATCATTTTAATCATCTTTACCATACCCTAAAAGATTACCTTTGTAATTGATTTCTCCCAAGTACAGAAGACTAAAAATCACCTAATAATGTGTATAGCTCCCAATTCAAGCCACTTTAACGAACCAAACTAGTTTATCACTGCTTGCTCTTGTTAAATATAGATTTAAAATATATACTAACAAACTCATGGCACATAATCAACAGAAATTCCTGCTTCGTATCTTAAATAGGAATTATGAGTAACAACCAAAAGCAAAATAATAATTAAAAAGTAAACATTAATGCAAAAGAACATTCAACTTATGCCTGGAATTTCTGATAGCAAAGATGGCAGCATACAAATTCACAATTTTTATTTGCATATATAATACAATCTGTACTGCCTACTTTTCAAACAAAACACTTTAAAAAGCCATTTTAAGTTATAATTTCTAAACAGTAGATATTATCTGGGTTAAAAGTTCCTTTTCTGATTTAGGGGGTCGGGAAGATGGCGGATTAGGGGTGACCTCCTGGCTCTCTGCTCCCAGAGTGGGAGGTGAAGAACACGGACACCCACACGCGAGTGAGGCGCTCCCCTGCAGGATTAGCTTCGTGAACCTACAGAGAAGCAGTGAGGGACAAGCAGTCCCGCGGATAGAATAAGGTTAGCTGCATAAGCGCTCGCAAATTACTGGAGAGTTGGGACAAAGGGGAAGTCCAGCGTGGGAAGGCCGCGCCCCGTGGCGGGCTGGCCTGGGCAGTGAGATCTGATTCACAGGAAGACGACTCTTCCTCTACCAAACCCCACTCCCACGCAGGCAGGGAAGTGTCAGAAGTCAGTGCGAAGTGGTAGCACAGACCGACAAGCGGTGGGGAGCCGAGACAGGTGCGGGGTCCATTTTGAACGCAGCGGAGCGCGGCGCTGGGTCGGCATCGGAGGAGAGGGACCGGCCCGAGCGCGCGCTCCCCAGATCAGAGGCCGCCCGAGCCCACCGGGGAGAGTTTGGAGGCAGCTTCTTGCCACAGGAGACAGCCAGGACTAGATCGGGGGAGGGGAACTCCATAAGAGAGGCTCTACCCACGGAAATCGCTGAAAGTTCTGCGGGCGCTGGAAGGGACACAGCAGAGTCCTCCCGCGGATTGGTCCAGAGTCACCATGGGTAGGGCGGGCGGCGGGCTCAGCGGGCGGCCCAGGGAAGCAGCTCTGGGAATAGGCAAGGGCGGACCCCGGCTCCGGATGCCCTCCCGGTGCAGACGGCTTCAGCGCTGACTAGCAGGGGGTGGGCAGCTGCAATTCGGGGACCTCAAAGCCTGCGACCGTGGGGACTTGTTGCCCGGGCATCCGCCTGAGTCATAGCCGCTGCCTCTGCAGCAGAGCTGGTCGCGCCCTGCGAGGAGAGTAGCGCGCGCAGCCACTTTTTCTCCCGAATCTGCGGAGTCTGTCGCAGCCGCAGACTCAAGCCCCACCTCCGAAAGAGCAGAAAAGTGAGAAAGAGCGATATTCCTGCCGAGTTTCCAGGTGGTCTCCAGCGGCCATTCAGTCGCTGGCGCTGTCCGCAAAGGTGACGGGGAACTGAGAGTGAACTGACGGAGACTGCTTATAGAACTGTGATCTGGGACACATAAGTCCCCCTCTGCCC